TAAAGGTTTTTTCATATATTTGTTATTTTTTATGATTCAAGTAACAATTTGATTAAATCAGGCAAGTTTGTGTATGAGATTTTTTTCTTCATTTTTTCATAAAATTCCGTGTTGATCAAAAAATTTTTATTAGCGAGTGACACTTGACCAACTGTAGATCCGCAATGTCCTGCGACTGATAAATAATCATCGTTTTGTCGATCGATCAACTTTTTTTTTTATTAATAATGTTAATTACAAATATTATTTACTTACCGCATCTTTTTTCTCTTCCAACTGCTCTTTTAACTCTTCAATCTCTTTTCTTAAATTAGCCATTTCACTGTCTTTTTTATATTATATTATTTTTATAAAATATAATGTCAGGATTCCCAAAAAATTGTAGAAAAAGGCAAAATCAAAATGAACGTGATGAGCTTTCTGGGTGTCATTTATTAGTGTTTATTGTAAGAATGGTGGTTATTGCCACTCATTGACACTCTAGTTGAAACTAATAAAACATCCCTATCACGTTAATTTCCATACTTGAAAAAATAGATATGTCCAACCTGTAAGTAAATTACATTCTCTTCGAATATCAAACTGATTATTTCATTTAATGAGGCTTTTCCCTGACATGAAAAATTAGGAAGGAATCATAGAAAACATTATCAATGAATTAAGCAGAGGTCGCGGCATATCTATAAGTGATGCAAATGAAGCGCTTGAAAATGAGAATATGTTGGAAGCTTTAACCGACTTCGTAATTAGAGCGTCAGAAATTCTAGGTAATTATGTCAAGTTAAAATATAATAAAAATGAAGAAGTAGGATCTGACAAGTTTTTTACTTATATGTTCCTTTTTTTTTATTTGTTGTAAATTTATATTCTTTATTTTATACAACAAAAGAATAATTATAATAATGTGAATAATGATGTTATTCAGAATGGCAATTCAGAACTTATTGTAACCACAGATGAAAACGAGAGAACATCATTACCTTCATCTCCTATTTCTGATGCATATTCTATAAATCATTTGGATTTAGATGAAAATGAGTAATTATTATATATTTTTATTATCTCTTAAATGGTCAGAGTATTCTTTAATGGTAACACTAATTAAAATTTTGATCATTCTTATTGGTCAATTTAACCACAGGGACAACAACTGGATTTTTATTTATAGATTAATCGGCTAAATCTCAACGATCATTTTCATATTAGAAAGTAATGCCCTCAGAAAAAAATTTTTATATCAGAAAATTTTTATCAGCTATCAATAGCCGATTAACCATTTAAGGGATAATGGAAGTGGTGTGTCCCTTCTACCGCACGAATAAAAAGAAAGATTTATGGGATTTTTGACATGGAGCTCGTGTCTCAAAAGATACATATGATAAAATAATAAATAAAATAATTTATGAATATGGAAATTCTATCAATCCAGAAACCATTTTTAATATTATCAATCAACTAGAAATCAATTATCTACATGTACATGGTAAATACTATAAGATTATTCAACCTAAATATGATTTAATTGAATTGATAAATTTATTATTATTAAATAAACAGGGCGTAACTGGTCTCTCTGGTCTCTGGATCATCCTGGAAACCAAATATATAGAATAAAAAAAAATATTGAATTTAAGTTCCCTACTAAACCAAAATATAAAAAGGATATTTTTACATATTTTAAGTCCATGTGGGAGTTGACAGTAAGTTATTTTACATCATTCAGGGTTTCATTGTCACTCAAATAGCAAACTATTTATTTAATTTGAATAAATTCTTAATTTGAATAAATTTTTTTAATTCAAATGAATTTTTAAAATTATTAGAATCACATAAATCAAGTATCAATGTTTTTAACAAAATTATCAGTCACTTTAAATTCCAAACCTGATAATTTAATCATAAACAAAACCAACAATTTTGCTGATATTTTAAAAGCCACTTGCTCCACAACTTCCACTACACCTGTAGATACACCCATAGAGCTTTCAATTACACCTCTTGAGGCAAATAGAATAGATCAAAAACTATATGAATTTATTCACTATATACCACTTCCAGTTGAATGGTGTACACCAGATAACTCTGAATATGAAAGTGAGGAGTATGATAGTGAAGATGGAGAAATTTAATCGCAAATTTAATTAAATGCAAAATATATAAAAAAAAATCTTGTATTTGAATAACAATTTATTGTTAATTCAAACTTGATTGTTTTTTTTCATCAAAAATATACTTAGTATCTTGTATTTATTTAACAATTAATTGTTCAAACAAGCTTGATAATTTTTTTAATATATATAAGAAAATTATATTTTCATTATCGAGAACCTAATTGTAAACCCAATTCCCTGATTTACTTTCTTGGCAATTCTTTTCCTTTTTCTCTTTCAATAAATTTTGTCATATTTCTTTTAAAAAAAATAAACCATGATCTCAAGTTGTAAATTTATGTGATGATGTAGACCCATTCATTAAAAATTTAAAAATTTACATATTTCTTTTTAAAGTATAAAAATTATTACTTGGGGGGTATAGTACTTTAATTAATTACAATAATTACGTATTTATGGTAATTAGGCAATTACCATCCAATGTATAGTGAGGTTTGCATAGAAAATTTTCACAATAATAATTAATTTGTCACCTGTAATTAACTACAATTACATAATCACATTTTTAAAGAGTGAAAATGGTAATTAATTATGTTAATTACAAATTACATATTTACAGTAATTAGGTAGTAACTATCCCATGTATATATGTGACAATATTCAATCATTATAGTTTTATTTTTTTAAAATAAATCCTTTCAAAAATTGTAAATAAACTTTTGTTTATTTTTATCTTTATTTATTTTCCATCATCACTAATAATATTACCAACATTATTTTTACAATCATCATTTTTATAATCATCACTAATAACATCACTCCTATTGTCATCATCAGTATCAATTAAGGTTTCTGGTCGAAACTGCTTCTATTAGTAGCCGAAATTGCCCAAATACTTTGGGCAAAAATTATTTTTT